GGGTTTAATGGCAGTAGATAGTTCTCCAGCTCAGAGTTTCTGTTTCCAAAAGCAGGAGGTCTAAAATGATCTCAGCTCTGAGTTCCAGCTTTTAGTCGACTGGTTTCAGCTCTCAGACAAAGTTTCTTCATCTCTGGATGCTGAACAGAGCTGATTCAGGAGGAGAACCTCATTCTAAAGGAAAATGGCAGAAACTCTGGTTCTCTGGACTCTGGTGGATCAGAGGCTTGGAAAACTGACAAAAACTGACAAAAACTGAAAAGAACTGACAAAAACTGACAAAAACTGACAACTTTCCATCATTTTTGTCATTTAAACTCATATTTTCTGGGGGAGTTTTCACCTAACTTACCAAAGAGACACTTTAAGCCTCATTTTGTCTTCTCAGGTTAAACTGAAGCTATGAAACCAACTTGTTTCCAACACACTAACATAGATTTTCCACTTATTTCTGTAATATTGGATATAATAAGCTGATTTCCAGGAGGTGAACCTCATTCTGGAGGAAAAAGGCAGAAACTCTGATTCTCTGGACTCTGATTGGATCAGGTGTTGGAGTTTATCCAGAAAAAGCTCCTTAAATGGAGCCATTTCTGTCCTTTTAGGCAGTTAGATGGAAGAAAAGCAGGACGTTAGAGCTGTAAACTGGAGCTGGAACCTCTATTTTGTGTGTTAAACGACTCCAGAAGTGACTGAAAATCTTTTATTTTCAGCTCTGGAACAAAGTTAGAGGACTTTCAGAGTCTTTAGGAGAAAACCGGAGCTGGTTCTGGAGGAAAAAGCAGAAACTCTGGTTCTCTGGACTCTGGTGGATCAGATGTTTGTGTTTCTGTCAGAGTTCAAGCAGCAGGAAGCATCCAGAACCAGAACCAGAACCAGAACCAGAACTATCCCTGGTTCTGGTTCTGGTTCCCTCCTTTTGGGCCGAGTTGATCAAACCTTCAGTCCTTTATTTCTCTCTTTTCTTATTTTATTCACTCAGTTCCACACAGTTGAAATCCTTTGGTTCAAACACGTTTATTTTAAAAATATTCAGCTTTAATGATCAAACTAGACAGAAAATACAGATCAGAACTGGATCAGAAC